CTCCACTCAACATGTGTAGCAACAGGAGGGAGAAAAATTCTCTCTCGGCACCATGTGACAACAGCAAAGCCCAAAAGCATAGGAAATGCCCATAATAGAGCATAGGCATAGTGACTAGATCATCCCTGCCCAATACTTCTCTAACTTCTTCCTGGATACTGCCAATAATGGAAACTCCACAATTTCTCTGTCTTGCACCTACTGTTCCTATTGATGCAGCCCAAAATCATATTCGCTTTTGGTGCAGCTGTGTCAACACTGTAAAGTCATAGTGAGTCTGTGATCCACTAAGACTCTTAGATCCTTTTTCCTAGTGCTGCCATCCAGCTAGTTTTGTATTTATGTTTTTGATTATTCTTCCAAAGGTGCAACATCTTGCATTCGTCAGCATTGAATTTCATTTTGTTAGCTCCAGACCGGCTTTTCAAATGTCAGAAAACTTCTGAATTGTGCTGATGTCCTCCATTGTGTCTACAGTCCTTCCCAATTTCACGTCACCTAGACATTTACTCAAGAAACTCTGTTTCAGCATTCAAACTGTTAATAAACACATTTTACAACACTGGGCCTGGGACAGACTCTTATGGGACTCCATTCTAAGCCTCCTGCCCTTCTGACATCAGCCCAGTTTTAACTATTCTTTGCTTTTGGCTATTGAGCTTGTTGTCTGTCCACCTTATAATAGTTATGTCTAGCCCAAGTTTCTCCAGTTTGTTTATAAGGTCATGTGAAACTTTGTCAAATGCCTTGCTGAAATCCAGATACACTATATTCACTGCATTCACTTCATCCAACCAAATAGCTACTTGGCAAAGGAGAACACTTATATGGCATGGTTTGTTTGTAGTAAATCCATGTTGGTTGCTTGAGATCAGCTTTTCCTTCTCCAAATGCTTGAAAAGGGACTTTCTTATGATATGCTCCAGTAACTTCCCAGGTATTGAGGTGAGACTAAACAGACTATAGTTCCCCACGTCCTCCTTTTTGTACCAAGGAGCACTATGTTGGCCATTTTTCAGTTCTCTGATACCTCACTTGTTTCCGGTGACTTGGTAAATATTGCTGAGGACTCCAAGGTCTTCTTTGCCAGTTCTTTCAGTACTTTGGGATGAAGTTTATCAGGCCCTGCTGACTTAAATTATTCAGACCCATCAAAAGTTCTCTGCTGTTTCTTCTGTTATCTCAACTCTCAGCTTGTCCCCTTTCTCATCCAAATAGTCTTAGTAGCTGTCTGGCTGCAGCTTAATGTTTTTGTAAAGAATAAGCTATGTTGAGCAGCTTTGCTGCCTTTGCATCTGCTGTTAAGAGTTTGCCCTGACTATTTAACAGTGGACCCATAGCTTCCTCAGTTTCTTTTTTCTGGCCAACATATTTCTAGAACATCTTCTTGCCTTTAACTTCCCTTTGCTTTCCTGCTTTTGTCTTTCCTTCGTGATCTGCCCATCTTTTCATTGCCTGTATGATTTCCTTTTGCATTCGAGGCATCCTAGAAGCTGTTTGTGTTGCCACATTGGTCTTTTGCCATTTCTCTTGTACTTCTATTGTGGTGTGTCATGGGGTGGGGTCCCTAGGGATGGCCATGATGCCCCTAGAGCCCTGTGACCTTGCTAGCTTCACCCCATGGGCACTTCCTAGTCTTTCCTGCCACGTCTTGATGGTTAAGAAAGTAGATGTTAGACAGGGAGGCTGCCCTCAAAGTGCTATGTGGTCATGGTCCTGGTGGACCCCACTAAGCCGTGTGGGTTCCTAGACCCCTTGCTGGGTCCCTCTCTAAGGAAGTGCCTCATGGGACACCTCAAGCCTTATGTACCTTGTAGCCCAGGGTACCTGGTGAACTCTGGGAACCCCATTAGTCCTGTAAGCAGCATACCAGGTAGCTACAGCATCTCTGGGCAGTTCTTTTCTGCAGGCTCCTTCCCCTGGCTACTGCCAGAGAATTAACCCCTGCCAGCCTGAGCCCTGGGGTTTATATGTGCCCAGGGCCCTGCCTTCTTCTGGTCAGCTGACCAGGTGCAGGTTCAGGCTAATTTCCACGTTAGCCTGCTGCCATAGTAACCTGCGCCTGTGTGGGGTTTCTGCCTGGCTCCTAGGGCCCTCTCTCTAGGCAGATTCTGCACTTAAAGGAGCAGGCACCTTAGTGCCCTGCGACATGGTGGAATAATTTCTTGGTGGGCTTCTAATACAATGCCCTTTAGAAGGTCCTGGGCACCTGTATTCTTCAATCTATGTTCCCATGTCCTATGTCTATCTTCATATTTCATATTATTGGCTGAAATGCCCTTTTTGAAATCCAGTGTCTTAGTTTTGGTGACCTCATGCTTTCCCTCTCTCAGGATTGTGAATTGTATCATAATATGATCACTTCTTCCTACATTTCCAATCACCTTCACATCTTCCACTTGTTCTTCCCTATGGTCAAGACAAATTCCATGATAAATGACCCTTTAAGCCAAGTTAGGAATTGGCTTGGCATTTTATGTTTAACCTTATTATTTTTTTAGCAGATGTCTAGAAAAATTTCTCCTCAGTACTATCTCATAACATTTGGATAATTTTGTCACCTCCTTGAAGAGTGCCTCATCCACCTCTTCTCTCTGATGTGGTGGTCTATAATAAATCCCCACCATTATATCAGTGGTATATCTTTCGCTTTTTATCTTCATCCAAATATGTTCTGGTCTTCTACCTTCTTCTTCCTAAACCAAGTAACAAGTGTGTATGTATGTTCTTCAGGACACAGAAAAATCTTCCTCTATCCAGTGATAACATGACAAGGCTCTAATCCTGATTGTGACCCCTGGCCCCTATATTTTTATAAATATTTGTTATCATCTTTGACATATTCAAAAATGAATAAAAAATGTTTGATTATCAGATTTTAAGTTTTTGCTTTTCAACCTTAGTATAACCCAGAATTGATCTTCATTAAAAGTACCCAACAACTGACAGCAAGTGCAGATGCTAGGAGTCTGTTCTACTGTGAATGCTTCAGTTTTGGTATTAAGTGACAAAGACTTCTTTCTGATACTCATTTCTCTGCCCCAGTCAGTATCTTATTTAGGATGAAAGCCTGAAAGAGAGATGGGTGGAAATAAAAGAAGGATATTGAATAGCATTCTGCACTATTACCCTAAGGGCTTTAACTGTTTTTACTAATATTCTATAATTAACTACATGAATGTCTGCAATGATGGCAGAAATTTGACTCCTAAAGCTTTTTGTATAATCTTACAGTATCAGATTCAGCTTCTGGCTATACTGATGTAAATCCAGAACAATTCACTAATGCCTATGGAGTTATTCCTTATTTATAAACAAACAAAGAAATAGCCATCTCAAATAAAGTCGTTAAGATACCCTAGCTTTATATCACTGTAACTGAAAGCCAAGTGGGACAAAAGGACACTTCTTTAAGTTTTCATTTCTCCACTGTTTATAACTTTTATGTTTTGTTCTACATCATGTCTCAGGAGTTCCCGTGGTGCAAGACACTTCTACACAGTATAGGTTTCTCACACATAGCAAAGTAAAATATTTAATTTGTGCCTTATTACCAGCTGTCATGCATAAGAAGTGCCTTCCTGGGTCAGCCCAATGGTCCGTCTAGTCCAGTATCCTGTCTCCAACAGCGGCAGAAGTGGGTGTGAGACAGGGAGAAGATTGAACCAACCAACTCTAGAGTGAACTATCCCCTATTCAATACTCTCCCTGCCATCCACCATTTATTGGGTTAAAGATGCCAGAGGAAACATCTTCAACCATTCTGTCCAATAGCCATTAATAGATCTATCATCCATGAATTTATCCAGTCCCTTTTTGAACCTGGCTGTGTTATCTTCCTCCAACATCTCCTGTGGTAGTGAATTCCACAAGTTAACTGTGTTGGGTAAAAAGTGCTTTCTCTTGTTAGTTTTAAACCTGCCACGTGCTAATTACAGTGGGTGCCCCCTAGTTCTAGTATTCTGGGACTTGGTGAACAACAGTTCCCCATTCACTTGGTGATTTTATAGACCTCTATCATATCTCGCCTCAGCCTTCTTTCCAAACTGAAGAGTCCTAGCCTTCTTAGAATTTCATGGTATGTCAATTGCTGCAGGCCCTTGATCATTTTAGTTGCCTTTCTTTATATCTTTTCTAGTTCTACTACAGCCTTTCTGAGATGTGGGGACCAGAACAGCACACAGTTTTTTCAAGATGTGGACGCACCATGGATTCATAAAATGGCATAATGATGTCAACAAAAAACAAAGTTCATTTCTAATTTATGAATTTTGGACAGATGAACATCTTTATTTCTAGGAATTTCTCCTCAGTTTTTACATGAAAGCTGAAAGATGGTATTTGTATTTCAAGGACAAAATAATTAAAATAGATTAACAACTTGAACAAAATGGCTTGTGGCATTAGTTTACGCATCTGCCTCACCTTGTCATTTTCATTCAGAGTCTATTCAAGTGCTTATGATGTAATGGATAAAAACATTGTTTAACAAGGTTTTGGTTGAGAAGATGCTTTACTGGTTCAGCAGCAGGGATGATGGCAGAAAATGAAGTGGCTCTTTTCTGGTAGTAGTAAGAACATATGGGAAAAAAGTCCACTGAAAGGTCTGTTATTTGCAATATAGTTAATACATAATTGTGACAATGAGTGTCCTTTTTGAATAGATAATCATATACTATCATTAGCAAATATTTATAGTGAAATCAAGAAAAGAGGCAAAGAGAGTAGTTGTCATTTCTAAGAGTCAAGTTGACTTCTATTTTTTTTTTTTTTTTTTAGAGTTCTCTCTAAACCAGGTGTTCTACTTGTTACATGTAGGAATTAATTTCTCAGTTTGAAAGTACACATCTGAGTTTTAGGTATTTACTAAACAATTAACTAGTTAGTAATAAAGATACTGTTTTCTAGGTCTGCATATTAATCCCATTGTTTCTTCAGTTATCTAACCGTTTCTATCAGTGAACATAATAAAAACTGAATATAGTCCATTTGGCACTTACACTGGTTGAGGATACAGCTTCCCGAACACTTTCCATAATGAATTCCTTTGTTATCCTGCGACAGGGCAGTTCATTGAAAAGAGAATTGATCAGAGCTACTTTTGCAGCATCTCGTCTTGCTTCTGCTCTGCTTGAGCAGCTCTGAAATAGCACAGAAAGACAAAAGGAGTGGGGAAGTCAGGAATACTCTTTCAGTTAATTTTGGGTCTATTTTTATCTCTCAATGCAACAAGGGAAACTTATCAGAACCAAGAGAAAATGATTTTCATGCCAACGTTGTTAAATGCATTACAGCAGCAAAGCTGTCAGGCTTTTCATACCAGAATATATTTCTTGAAAAATAGCCTCATTTCAAAAAACAAAACTTTCCACAATAAAAATGTCATCATTAATATTTGGTATATTCCTAAAATTTGTGATATTTGCTGAGTTTTGTTATTGAAATTAGTTTTTAAATCTGTATCAAAATTCTTCACTTACCCGCAACCACAATTTCTTGCTGAAAACAGTTTTCTTCATTTTTTTTGGATAAAAATGTGGGAAAGGGAGTCTTATAGAAAAATATTCCTTTCTTTAAAATGGTCAGAATTTGAAATTTGAGAAATGGTTGGCACCCCATGAATTTCTTAGTAAAATTATTCTCACATTTTTTGATGGTCTGTATTCTAAAAATATGCAACATAGAGGATTTTCAAAGGAGTCTAAGGGAATGAAGCATGAAAATTTCCCAGAATCAGTTAATTTCCTTTAAAAATCCCAGCTCTCAGTAATTTTTGCTAGCCTACTTGTAGTGTGAGAAATTCATAATATCCCTTGCATAAAGCTTTGTATTACACCAGAAAAAAACCCAAAACATTGTCAATAAATAGAGTGGGATCTTCTCCATTTTATTCATTTACCAAGTCCTGAGAGTTCTGCTAAAAGCCATCTCATATGCAGAACTAGACAGAAATCAGTTTTCCTGAATTTAAGGCCAGAAGGGATAACCAGATCTCGTCTGCCCTCTTGCATATCCAAGGACACCGAGCCTCACCCAAATACCCTACATCAAGCTCAAATCAATTAGAACTTAATAAGACTAAAGCATATAGAGTCTTAGGAATCCAAATTGTGTTTAGGCAGGAAAAGAACAGGCAGAGAACAGGAAAGATGAAAGAACAACCAGTGCCTGAGGCCCTTCCAATTGCAGGGGATTAATCTGTTGAATTAAGATGATCTCGGCAGGTCAACTGTGTCTCATGCCATGAGGAAAGTTAAATCATCCTTAAATCCCTGCCTTTAGCACTCCTGGGGAAAATTCCTTTTTGCCCCCAAGTCTCATGATAGATACAAATCTGAGCACATGAGATAAAAAAACCAACAACATGGCATCTCTGTACCAACTCAGAGAACTAGTCCTTCATTTCCAGCTGCTTCAGAGGAAAGAAATGTCTCCCTCTTCTCTTGCCCCTATCCCATTAAAACTCACCAAAAGCACAACCTAGAATTCATCTAGCTAATGACACATTGCCCAAGTTATTCCTGGCACCTGCCGGTGAGTACCTGAAGTATGTTATTGGATAATAACATGTTTAAAGCAGAGTTGCAAGTGCCTTGAGATCGATACATGCCATTGCATTCTCTCTATGGCCCATGTAGGAAGGGAATGAAGAAGGTGTTTCTTAGATTTCAAAGCCAGAAAACCCCACCATGACTCTCTGGTCCAAGCTACCAATACAAGTATAGTCTAAATTTATAGCTAAAGCTAGATTAAAGGGTACCTTTTAAAATGTTCTGACTTCATTTTAGACTTCAAGCACTAACTACCCTGGTAAACTGCTTTCTGTTTACCTGTCCTCAGAGTTAGGAAATTGTCATATTTTAGGATTCAATTTGTCAACTTCAACTTCACTGTTCAACTGACAGATCAAGTTATACATGACACAGTGGACCATCTAATATTCAATTACAGTGACCTGAAGAATAACCATATTCTTTTTAACAGTGGTCATCTTTACTTTACTTTTTGGACTGAACTCAATTGGAATTCTTCCAATAAATTTAATTGGCCATGGATGAGGTCCTTACAATATGGTGATGTAGATGGGCTGCTCTATCAGAAGATGTAAGTACTCCTGAATGTGATTATTAGGGTTTTTGTGTGTAGCAAAACATTTGATGGTTCTATATGGAAGAAAAAAAAGAAGATATCTTTACCTAAAACAAGCACTTAGAATGTTTCATTGTTAAAATTAACAATTAGATTCAGAGAGAACCATTTTGCTCTCTCATTTAAAAATGCCATTCTTGGGTTTTATAAAGGAAAGCACTTTCTTCTATACTATTTAATTTTTATTAGACAATATATCTTGATCATTCCTTTTCTTGGCTTTAGATAGACATTAGTGTACAAAATATTTGAAGTGGCTATGAGAATTTGTACCTTTCATACCCATGTACAGCTCCTTAGATGAATTCATTTTACTACTCTCCATTTGTTTTTCTTTCATTAGTTTTTAAACATTTTCTCATGGTTTGCATGGAAGCCTGCTTTCTAGAATTGTGAGGACAGAACTCAGACTTGTAGGCTCAAATAATACAATTCATAATAAAACCCAATCCAAATAATTTGGATTTAAACCATCTTTGTGAAGATGAAACCTGGTAAAATGACAGATAAAAGAAACCATTCATTTTTAAATGAGACCAGCAAAGCAGCAGATCAAAGAAGCTGCATACATTTATACACAAATGGCAAGTCTTTGGAGATCAAGAGATTTACAAATCTGGAAGAAGAGAATAATGTTCAACATTTTCTAAATGTAACAGGAGATATAAAGACTTTACCAAAATGAGATTATAAATTTAAAACAGTGACATTATGACTTTCCTTTGCAATTTTTTCTTACATTTAACTTTTTCTCAGTCCCAGGAGAATGAAGCTGATTATAGGTCAGATGAGCTGAGAAGTAAAAAAGGCTAAAATCTCAATCTAGTTTTTCAGAGGGCAAAGGTTTCTGAATGTGCCAGTTAGTTAGTGTTACAAATAAGTCTTGAATTATCCAGAGCGGAAGCTGTAAGTAGGTCACTGAATAGGACTACAATAGGGTAAAAAACTTCCTTAATAACTGGTCATATCAATGAGCTGTATTTTCAGATTTACTGGCAATGAATGCATGTAGGGAAGGAGAGAAAATGGGAGATGGGAGTTTAATGCCTTAGCACTTATTGAAAGGTAGTTACTGGCAGTCATGTTGATGTATAATATACTGTTTTCAATTGATTTAAATGTTTGGCTGAGGAAGGATATGCCAGCCTTAACCTTGGTCTGCAGCAAAAGTTATTGGCCATAGAGATGTCATTGAAATCTCTCACAATCAGAAAACAGCTTCTTAGGTGGAAATTATACACTATAGTTAAACTTTAAGTTATGTCACTATGCTAAAGTTTCCAGAAAGTAGGCATGTCATCACATTAGTTTGCCTAGGTTTCTGTGAACAGACACAGCAGGTTCATATCTTAAGCCTTTCAGCTTCGCATTTCATCCTTCTATGCTTTCGAGCCCAGACCATAGTGCATAGAAAATGCATAGAGTTCTCATCAAGGGATGTGCTGATGTATGAACACATAAGCAGGTAGCTTAAAGTTCAGCGTGGGAACCTATTTGATTGTACTGCTGCAGCTCTGTGAAGGTCAATCTCTTATACCACAGCCCGAGGGTGTAAATCGCAAGGAAATGAAAACAATTTTGAATATCAATATAAAGCAAGGGCTTCTCAGATGTACTCACTTTGTCCTGCTGTGTTAGCAGCAAAAAGGTGAGTCCGTTACTGAACCATCACCTCTCTGACTGTGCAATTCTCTGCAATGAATTTAAAGGCCAGATTAAATTTAAATGATTTTAGGGCCAGATTAATTCAGCACTGTAGTACAAAATCAAACTCATACTGCTGTACTGTAGTACAGTATTACTTTAATAAAACTTCAAGGCAATAGTGACTGACTAAAACAAAATGAAACAGCACCAACTCTTTCTAAAAATCATCCTTCATACCAATTCCTACCTTTTGTAGTGTTTTTGGCAGCAAGGAGCCAGTGACCTTTATGATGAGTCTATAAGGTTTCAGGTTGCAGCTGACTAGCTTATTCACCCACTCTGGCATCTTTAGTAGTGGGAGTCAGGAAGATCGCCCTGCCTGACAGTAATGGCTCAAGTTTCCCATTATTACTTCAATAAATTTAAAGTAAGGCCTATAGCAGCAAGACCATGCAAGCATTTCCTGGTTCTACTCATTGCAGCAATGAGGCAAGGGTATTGACCATTAGCACTTCTGTTTCTAGGGATCAATCACTCTCTGAAAACCAAGGTGCATTAAACTCAGCGGAGACCATCCAAAAGATAACAGCAAGCAAAGAAAGTTGAGGTGGGTGTGTTGAGGGTCCAGCTGGCCATTCATGATTCATGGCATGTTTGATTAGCTTTGCTTTTGGGCCACCATTTCCCAAAATAGTCTATATATTGGGTACATATATTCTATATGTTGGCTTGTAGACTCTGTATATTCATTTCGCTTGACATTTCCTAGTTTGTGGGATTTACACTGGCTCTAATTCTCTGACTGAGACACAAAAGGCAGGACATTGTGGTAAACCCTAGGATACACCCATACTGCAGGTGTCATTGTAACAGATCATTCAGGTATGCCTGTCTTTAATTTAACTAGGTGGATATCAATATCAGGAAAGGCATGACAGCATGGACTTAGGGGTGTGCTGATTAAATAACTAGGGTCCATGGCAGGGTTTGTGTATCCCACTCTTGGAGCCCATAGTATCTTTACCACTATCATCACTACAGTTTGCTAGATTTGATCTTGGTTGTGGTATACCTGCATTTTTTGTAATGGTGCCTTAGTCCTAGAAGTCTGAGGCCTTGGATTCTATCTCTGGCTTTGAAAAAAACTTCATTTGTGACATCAACCAATTCTGCTAGACACAGCTCATTATAATCCGGCCTCCCTTTTTTACATGTAGATTTCAAGGGCAAATCAATTCCAATAAATCTCCAATGCACTCTACATGCATTAATGTGCATGTGTTAGAAGCACTGACAAGAAACAGAATCACATTTTTATGGGAAAATAGTCATTTATTTCCAAGGA